AAGACAGTGGCTATTAATGTTGGAAGGAATGATTTTACACCTAGCAATTGTAAATACACCTTTTGGCTTCTGGGTTCAGCTATTCATGGTGAAGTAATACCATTATTAACCACAAGCTGTGTGACTTCTAGTTTTTGGCGCTGTTTAGCATCATTTGTGCAATCTTTTGTCAGTAGCAGGGCATCAGAGATGTGAATACATAAGATGGAGTTGCTCTTCATTCCCATTCCAGGTATTTCTGCTATGTGCATGCTGCACACTGGTTTGTTCGTGTGCTTAAGGTAATTCATTAACTGAGATAATATATTTAATAAGTTATTACCAGCACTCCATTTAACTTCAGAATATGCAGGAAATTTGTATTACAGAATTCTAAAAGAGCTTGACATAATAGCCAACTTTTTTTTAATGAGCATGTCTTTTACTAAAGTGGCCACAAAGGGGCAGTATTATTCTATTAAGTCCAACCCAGCTGTGTCAGAATAAGTGCTTTCAAGAGCTCCAAATGACATTTTTAGTCACTTGTAAGAAAAGGATTTTAAAATTTTGCTCATTGGCCCAGCTGCAGACCTGTTTAACTAAACACACACTTGCTGTATACCATGAAATTTTCCCTTGCAGCATTTGCCAAGTAGTTAGATTTTAGTGTTTCCTTTTATGTTCAGATTGCAGGCTTTAATGATAAATACTAAATGGAAATCCAGCTATTGAGGATATAAATAAGCATTGCAGCCACAAGGAAACAACCTCTTAAATAAACTGAGCATGTCAGGGAACCTTCCAGTAGCAACACCTCACCACCTTGTTAAGAGACACTTAAATCTAGAGCAGATGATGGTTTTAAACAAAAATCAAAAGTCACTAAAAGTACCTTCAACAGCAGGACAGAACAAATGCAGAAGTTGCCAGGTTAGATTTCATAGGTTAAATTCCATATCTGATCTCTCTGAGCCAAACCCTTGGAATTAGCATCCTCCTCTGATCCTATATCCATCTCCGCTGTTTCTATCGCAAGCCTGAGCAAGTCTATGAACATTTCAGTTACCTCAATTAGTGTGGTATGATACTGCCTTCTTCTGAAGGGTTTTTCCAACTTCTTAGGCTGGCCCACAGCACTGCAGTTTCCTGGCAATCTCCCATCCAAGTAATAATCATGTCTGATCCTGCTTAGCTTTCTGAGATCAACCAAAGTCACCAAGGTACTGCCACCTAGCTAGATTCCTCTCCTTTTAAAAAAATGCAAAATGGGTTCTACATTTAGCTTCATTTAGGCTATCATTTTATCTAGCAAAGACTTCAGCTTCTTCAGGTTAGGAGGGAAAAAAATAAACTGAAAAGACTTCCAAAATGATAATCTGCTAGGCTATCCCATCTGGGCATTATGCTAGTCAGCTTTCCCCAGCATGCTGGTTGGTGGGAGATAGTTTTGGAAATCCAAGTCCTATGACGTTACCAGGATATGAAAGGGATGCCTCCTAGAAAGTTTGCACTAATCCACAAATAAAAACTTTTTGAAATATATCTAGGAATGTGTTGAATTATTTAGGGATATAATGTACCTGTAAGATGATATCCTAAAGGTACTCGTTGAATGGAATTCCTATGAGTGGTAATGTGTCTGCAGATGCTTCCTTTGGTGCTAACTAGGTTCTGTACCTTTCCTGGTTTTATATATTTTTTTTAACAATACAGTTTTGTTTTCAGGAATATCTTTAAGCACTATACAGATCCCAAAATTTTCATGCAAAGATAATGTATTAAGCCTAGTATTTTTGTTGTTTATCATTTTCAGATAAAAAGGGATGCAGGATGGGTTATGAATGATAAACAATGGGCTAAAAATTAGGAAGACTAAGAAGTGTATTTTGCCTGTTTTTCTAAGTGTTAAGTAGTATTATACAGGCATTTTGCTTGTGTTTATATGCTGCTTTGAGCATTGTCAATCTATCTTTTTGGAGATCTGTATTGTGCCTTGGTGACCTACCTCAGCCATGTAATGTTTCTTGGCCAAGTTACTTGTTTCTAAATTCCACCAACTTGCCTTCTGTGAAGTAGAAAGTGAGAAAAATTGTGAGTTCATGGTAGTAGTTTCTGCTTTGGAACTTGAATGCCATCTCTGACTGATGCTTTTTGGGGACCTATCTTTTCTTACCTCCCTATTTGCCACATGAAAAAATAGTATTTTGTAACTAGGCACACCAGCCACTTCGACCAATTGATAGTCCCCTTCACTGGGACAATATATTTTTTTTTAAAAAGACTCCAAATATGTCCATTGAGCTAGAAAAGCTGGAATGAGAGATCTCAGTGATACGGCTGGCTTCCTGTGCTGGGAAATGGCACAGTGTAATCCAAATATTTACAAAGTTGCATGTATAGATGGCCTGAAAAGCTTTTAATACTACATATAAATGGACATATATTTTATGTTAGCATTCCAGATGTCTGTTCCAGATGCCAACCATACTCCTCTTCCTCACTATTAGCCATTCTGCTGGTTTAGAAAGCAAATGCTTGCAGTGGAAACCCTCTGCCAATGTAGCCCCCCCCCCCAATTTATTTAAAACTATCAGCAGTAAAACAATATTACATACTATTTTTTCCCTGAACAGTCTCTAGTGCTATTTGTAAGGTCAATAGCAGTTCATTAACAGCCATTAAAAGCCAGTCTGGTGTAGTGGTTAAGGCACCAGGCTAGAAAGCAAGAGGCCCTTGTCTGTTTGGGGTTGAGGCTGAGTTCTAGTTCCACCTTAGACATGAAGTCAGCCAGGTGACCTTGGGCCAGTCACTCTCTCTCAGTCCTAGGAAAGATGCAATTGCAAACACTTCTGAAATCCTGTCAAGAAAACTGCAGGGACTTGTCTAGGCAGTTGCCAGGAGTCAAAAACAGACTCAAATGCACCAAAAACAAAAGCCTATATTAAAAATTAATAGGGTGATCAGCTGCTTTTTCGAAGATGACTGGATAAAAAAAAAAAGCTATGGCACTCAGTTTAGGAAGCAGAGGTGGAAAATGTTTCATTGAAAACAGACAAAACTTCTTCTGAAGGAGGGCCAGAGACTTTCAGCAGTGCTAGAGAGTGAGACAGAAGAATCTTTGAACAGGGGGGAAGTGATCTCAATTTTTCTGCGTGCTGAATGCTATAGAAGTTATTTATCCCAAAGATAAGTCTTCAGATACACCTATTTACTACTACTGTATACTTCTTCCAGGCCTTCTACTTTTGGTAAGGGTAAAAGTCAAACTGCAAACTACTATTGCATGCTAGTGCAAATCTATCAGTCTTTCTGGGTACCTGGTATATTGGCTGTGTCGTCTGATACTGCCAATTCTGCCAGGCAGCACCTATCTGGAATTCAGATGGGAAACCTGCCGTCATAGAGAAATTGCCAGACTTCAGTTCCCAGCCACAAAGACCTCAGTTCCTTACCTCTACTTTAGAGTCCTTACGGAGATTATCTTCACCTACACTAAATTTTTAACTAGGGATGTTGCCAGCTAAAACTGGAGAACCATACCGCATACTAAATGTCTGTTTTACTGGTGGACCCTAGTCCCTTCCTGTCTTACATGCCTACTGATTTCTTTTTTCTGTACCACAATTTCCTGGAAGGGAGCCAAGGTTTTTAGCATGCAGCTTTAGCAGTGGAAATGGTAGTTGTCTGTTTGGGTTTGAGGCTACGGTGCAGAGAAGCCACAAAACACATTTTAAGAGAATTAAGGCAACAGAAAGGCTGAGAAAGTGAAAAGTACTTGTCAGAGATGGTTAAATTTCCATCTTGGTCATATGCAAAAAAGAGAAAATATGTGAATGAGCCTCAAAGCTGTTTCACATGAAAATGTCAAAGAAGATAACAAAGCTTTGTTTCTTAACAGCTGATAGGTCTGAAAAGAATTTCTGTATGTCTTTTGCTTAATTTAAAAAAGGGATTTTTATGGGTTTTTGTACGTATGCCTTGCCTGTGGTTTATTTCATGAAAGTAAATACTCTGCCATTGTGTCTATATTTCTTTGATCATCTGTAAAGTTGAAACTCTGTTATGCTTTTGGACAAATAAATGATTTTGCATTGGGGCTCTGCCCATATATCTCCCTTACATTCAGTTCTTCAGCCAAATTACCTACAGTTTGAATGCTGAAACAGAATAGTGGGCTGAAAAGAGTATTTTTGGAACTTGGATCTAGTTCTGCCTTGTATTTGCAATTGTTGGGGAAGTTTTTTAGTTTTTTTGCTTTCTGAAAAATTAGTGTTTTGTGACAGACCATACTCCCTATGGCAGCTTTTTTGTCAGCATGACTATGACACCCTCTCAAAATTCCAGATTTTCTCATCCCCAAAATAGTGTGATGTCTGGTTTAAGTCTACTTCCACCAGGTATTTAGAATAGCTCTCTTTGCAAGCTAATTGTTGCTTTCAAGCAGAAGAGTTTTTCCTAACCTTGCATCTTCCAAACATGTTGAGCTCCAGGTCTTGTGGGTGTGGAAAAATGTTCTTGCTCTTCCTAATTAACTGAACCTTTTATGACGAGAAAGTTGCATACACAATAGAACCTGGGTAGTATTTGTTAAATGTTTATTTTGGAGCCTTAGAACTGACAGGAAAAGCACACATCCCACATTCTCCACACAAATGTTATTGCCCTGTTCTTTTGGCATAATGAGATTATTTTCACAGTTCTAACAGCTAAATAAGTTATGGTAGGATTGTGCTAGCATACCCAATAGCACTCCTTTATCTGCATCAATAGGTAGAAATGTGCCTTCTCCTTGGATTGTGAATGACTTCCATTCAGAAGGGAATCACTGCCAAACAAGCATTACACATATGAAAAATATATTAGGAAATTGGATTCTTAAAAAAATAATCTATCAATTCTAGTTATTAAAGGCCGTTACTGCATCAATATCAAGCACCTGGAGGAGGAAGGCAACTAGCCACAAGACTTAGAAGAACATTCTCTCCCTGTCCTACTTACCAAATAGCAGGTTGGATTCCAAAGGTATACGGAAATGTTTGCAGAAATGGGAGCCAACAGTCTAAAGGCAGCACCACTATCCAGGTTCCAAAAAACTCATCTAACTTGATCCTGATATTTGCAGCAATCAATCTCTACAGCAGCCATGGATGTTCCCTGTTCTGTATGGAAATTATGCACAGCAGGAGGGTTTCCTACAATAAAGGCTAGCGGAAGGAATTCTGTTTGCTATCACCACTAACATAATCTAATGCCAAAGCCACCTTTTTTCATTGCTGATATCAATAGAAGCTACTTCCAGAATAGTCAGTCTTAAACCCAACAACTAAATTATAGAAGGTAATCCTTCCAGTAGCACTAAACCATTATTACATGCTTACCAGCTCAGCACTGGTGTTATTATTTTTTTTATTTTTTTTGCTAACACAAGCAGGCAGATACCTTCCCTAAAATGCTTCAATAGTTTTCTGAAACTAATCCCTGAGAAGTACAGCAATGAAAAAGAAAACTTCAAAACAACATGCTAGCAACAGTAGGTTTGTTTTCAGCTACTGCTTCCATTTTATTCTATTCACCCAGAATAGAATTTGGCTACTCTGGACAGCTCTAATACTGGAGACTGGAAGCAGTTTTACTATTCCTATTTTTTATAATTTAGGCGTGCACCAAATTATGAGAATGTTCATTGCCCTGCAACAGCCTTGAAGATTTTATACCTGGCTTCCTTATATTTACCATAAGACATCACAGGTGATAAAAGATACCTGCCTGTCCCCACCACTGAAGTTCATCTTCCTAATCTGCATGGCAGAATAAAACTAGGATTGCCGTCTTTACCCTCTGGATAAGACAAAAAGTGAATGCAATTGTGGGTACGGAAACCTAGCTGGAAAAAAATAACTTTGAGAAACCATTGCTCTGAGACAGTGCTGGAAAGTTGCAGTTGAACCAACTTTGTACCTTTGTAGTCAGCAGAAAGGCCCCTCATAATATTAGAGCCTAAGAAAACAATCAGCTCCAGGATGTGCCCTGTAGATCCAATTCTTGATCCAAGCAACATGAAAAGGAACGATGGCTTGCTTTGCTGTGCACGAGTGGTCTCTTCCTCTGTTTCAACAGACAGATGTGCAATTCAGTTCTGCAGGCTCCTCTATGCCTGGGGTGCCCAGTCCTTCTGGTCCATCTGCTATGCTGGGCTCACTAGAAAACTGCCTGTGGTTCAAACTGGGTTGCAAGAGGAGACATTGGTCGCCACTGTCTGGCTCTTCCACCAGCATGCCTGAGTGCATAATAGAAGCCATGGCCAACAGCTGGATATCAGAATGAGCATTGGCAACAGTATGCCGACGGATGCTCCCGCATTTCTCAAGGTAAGCCTCACCTTCCTGTTCAGTCAGGGGTGTCAAGGCAGTCTCACTGACCTGTCGGGATGCCACTGTGTGAGAAGAGATGCTCAGCCCATTGGGTTTGTAACGAGATCTGTAATACCGTCTCTCTGGAAAATAAGGGGAAAAAGACATGTTGTTCATCACAGATTGTTTACCACTGCAAGAATTGGTTTCTCAGGGAATATTCCAAAACCATCCTTGGGCAATGATTTTGTCTCTGTGAAAGGCATATTAGCTTCCCTCAATAGGGATAGTTTTAAAATATGTAACTGTACAAACAATCTCCCTACATGAATTCTGCATTCAAAATTTTAAAATGCAATCTGTTACCTTTTTCAGTGCAATGTTTCAATGAACAGGAAGGTCATAATCGCTTTTTAACGTATACATATAAATATTCATCTTTGGTTTTGCTAACAAGTTGCAATATATGAGTGATGAGGATATGTGGAATAAATAAAATACAAGTTATACAATAAATAATGCTTAATTTTCTGCGCCAGGGTAATCCTATGTTAGAAGTCCAAGTTATGCCAGAAACGAACTTATGACATTGTAAAACTTTGACATTATTGCAGCGTAATCCCTCAAGTTGTCTTTCACTTAAAAGGATAAATATGAAGCAGTGAGCTAGATTTCCACCCCTAAGTCCTCTGTATTTAAATATGAGCTTATCCCTATCCTGTACATGCACTGTGTGTGGACTCATCCTTCTGGATATTCCCAGAATCATACACAGAAGTGTCTTTTCTTCCTTGATGCAACTTTTCATCACACACAGTTCAGAATGACTGTATTATGGGCAGAGTTAACAGCATTATCTGAGCATAAGCATTGGTGACAAAGCAAAGCAAACTTATCTATGGGAAATTTACTGCCAATTCTACATGCAGACCTAACAAAACAGCCCCACTTGAAATATTTTATTGAAACAATCAAGCTTGTTATGTTCTGTCCGAACAAAGTCTCAGAATACATATATTCATTTTCAAGCTCGTAACATTTAGAATGCATCATTTTGAGACCAGAATGATCTAATTTAAGGTTTTCTTCTATGACAGAACACTTGAAATTCTGTATCTCAAAAGTCTGGACACATACATTTTGTTTCAAGCAGTCATTTTGCATCTCTACTATCAACCCAACTTTTCCCAACTTGATGCCTTACAATGCACATGGTGATTACAATTTCTGAGGGCTGTAGTCTCAATGCTTCTGGTGGATATTATTTTAGAGAAAACTTTTGTAATCATTGATTACAATCATTGATCTAGTGAGCTGCCCAGTTTGAGTTCACTGGCATTTCTTCTATCTCCCTGACAAAAGGGTTGTTCCAAGGTAGGTGGAGGGAACCAGTAAGGTTCTAGATATTGCTGAATTCCAGTTCCCAGCAGCTCTAGCTAGCATGGCCAGTGGTAAGAGATAGCGGTAACTTTAATTCAACTACAGCTGGACAGCAACTGATTCTTTATTCCTGATCTAGGTAATGGAGATAATGGATGAAAGAAGCGGATACTGCCCTCTTGCAATTCCACTGGCCAACAGTATTCCGTATGAAGGAGCAATTCACATGGATCTAACTAGCAACTTTTAGTACATTCAATTACAAGAATGATAGGGCTAGAATTACAGGTCACATATTCTAAACTTATAATACAAGCACAGGCAAACTAAGTATTACTTTAGGGGGAGGGGCTGTCAAACCCTAAGTCCCCCAAGCAAAAAACATGTGCCCATTCCAAACACTTAAAGAATTATAAACCAGAAATTTGCTTCAACTACCAGAACACACATCCTTTCATGTCTGCTCACCTCAACATTTTTGCATTTAAGCTTATACTTTTAAATAAAGTCATTTTATAGTTACTATTGTTAACTGGGAACTGAAAATCCTTGCTAATGTACTGCATATCATTCAGAAGTCTACTGATAGATTCTCCTCTACTTTCTACCTGCCCCTGATGTACAAGACTGTACCACTTTTTCTTTCTTCCACCTCCTTTATGATTATCAAAGTGTATGCTGCATCAGAAACAGGAACCTTCCTGCTTCTGGAGGAGGTATGGCAAACTGAAGATGACCCTGCGAAAGCGGAGCTGATGACTGCAGCAAAGGGATTAGAAAGTGAGGTTTGCAAACCAGTGATTCTACTGGTGAGAAGACCGGTTCCTTGGAACCTCTCCAGATAAGGCTATTAACTATCTTAAAGCTATTAGAGACCTTCAGAACAACAAGTTTGGAAAGTCTTCATCGGGTGAGTTTATCTTCAACTCTGAACAAAAGAAAAATTATTTATAAGCTTAAGAAATTAAAGAATTTGAAATGAGCAAAAAGCTAAATAAAATTTTAATCTAAGAAAGTTATAAATGGATTAAAGGTCCAGATAAATTTCAAATATTGACTTTTACTGTAAGATTTTGGAATTAACTATAAAAATAAACAGGTTTTTGTGGGAAACAGACTTATTTTGGTTATCCTGGTTATTGCAAGTCATAACAAAGATAAGTGTTGATTTTAGAAACTGGACACTAGAGGGGACTAAAGTTTCTAAGCAGAAGAAAAAAAAAAATACAAGCCTGTTTTCAATGTCAGTTAATACTGGGACTTACAAAATGACCAAACATTGTAACATCAGAAATAATAAAGGAGATCTTTGAAGAATGAAGCCAGAAATTAGTAATTACAATATCAACACTGTCAGTAATGACAGGAATTACAGTTATGGGACAAATTTTATCTGACAAGACAGAGAAAGTAGCAAAAGTGGAACTACAAATGACAGATCAAAAGAATGATTTGTTAAAAAAAATGCTTTACTGGGTATACAAAAGAAACGGGCTGAAGTTTTAAAAATTAAAAAGGAAATACAGATGACAAATCAAGAGAAAGACCTGGAAAATGTTTTCATATTAGATCTACAAAAGAAGCTTGTTAAACCCTTGAAGAAATCTGTGTGATGGAATAAAAAAGAATTGAAGAGAAATCAAATCCTACGACAGTATTTCACTGAATTAAAGCTTAGGATTCTTAGGAGTAAAAGAAAGGAATATAAAATTGGTTTATTTGATCAAGGTTAAAATAAGGGTTTTTTGTTTTTTGCAATGTTATGGCAACCCTTTGTGGACTTTTGCTGACACCAAGATTGAAAAGTTGATATTTTATGGATTCACTTATAGATAAGGAATGGGATATGGGATGAAGAGATATCTGTTTTAACTTTATAGGGGGTAAAGAGTTATTAAATTTGTTTATACAGGTAGTCCTCAACTTACGGCCATTTGTTCAGTGACCATTCAAAGTTACGATGGTGCTGAATGAAGGAACTTACCACCCATGCCCGAAGTTACAGCTGTTACAGCGTCTGCAGTCGCTTGATCAAAATTCAGGCACTTAGCAGCCCGCCCACACGTATGACCACAGGGGTGCTTCACCCTCACCACCTATCTACCCCCCCATCTCTGCCCTTTTGGCCCCAGCTGACCTTCGCCATCTTCTTGGTCCCGCTGATGAGGTGTGCCTGGACTGGGGCTGGGCTTTGCACTGTGGGAAAAAAACAACAACCCCAGAGCCGCAGCACACCAAAAAGCCCCTTTGTGCTGTGCCCCCCTGGGCCAGGCTGAGGCTGGCTTTGTACTACAAAAAGAAAAACAAAGTAAAAGTCAGCCCAAACCATGGCATGCCAAAAAGCCCCTTTGTGCTGTGGCTCAGGGGCTGCTTTTTTATTTATTTATATATATTTTTTGCAACACGAAGCCCAGCTCCAGCCCGACCCTGCAGTCAAACCAGGCATGCCTCAGCAGCAGCAGGAACAAGAAGACGGTGAAGGTCAGTTGAGGTGGCAGAGTGCAGGGCGGCAAGGGCAACTGCAGCTCAGACTGGGCTCGGGCAGCTTCAGCTTCCCGGGGTGTGGCAAGCAGACCCAGAGCCACATGGCTCTGGGACTGCTAGCTGCCACGCAAGCAGGGTGCAGGGCAGCCAAAAGGGCAGAGATGGGTGGGAGATAGGCAGGTGGAAGGATTGAAAGCAGTCCCTTACCTTATTGAGGCTTGGGGCTGGGAGGGACCAAGCCCGGAACGGCTTGGATTGGGGTGGGTACTCGCTTAATGACCCACAATTCTCGGTTAAGAACAGCAACCGGGACTGCCATCGCTAAGCAATGCAGTTACATGACATCTCAGTTTACAATTGCACTGCTTAGTGATAGCAATTCAGGTAATAACTGTGGTCGTAAGTTGAGGACTACCTGTACTTGTTCTGATTCAGTTTCTTTATATATTTTTTCTTCTTTTATTTCTGTACTTTTTATCCTTTCTTTCCATTCTCTTCTCTTTCTTAAGTTCAATTTATATTAGTTTTTACTATTGTAATTAAAATTCTTAATAAAAATTATTTTCAAAAAAAGAAACAGGAACCTTCCTAAAGTACAGCTGCTTTAATGAGTCATGGACAAGTGCTATATTCATGCTCCCACATGTTCCAAAGCACCTCTTCTAAGTTTATAGAGCCAGTGTGGTATAGTGGTAAAGGTGTTGGACTGGCACTGGGGAGACTCACCTTCTAGTCCACCCTCAGCATTTGAATTTCACTAGGTGAATTTGGATCAGTCGCTCTCTATCAGCCTAACCTGCCTCACAGGATTGTAGGGAAAAGGGGAATGGGGAGATGCTGCGTATGCTGGCATCCTCATACTGCCTCATACTGTTTTGAAAACTTCCCCAATACTCCTAGACAATTTTTTTGGGAAGTAGAGACACCACAGAGAAAAGTGTGACATCAATAAAACTCAATTTTTTTTTTCTCTAGCAGACGTCTCCCCTGATAGTTCTGCTCATAGAAACACTTGATCCAAAATAGCTGCTAAAACATTTATTATTGCAGCACTGACATAGTTCAGAAATGGTTTCATAAAATTTTACAGTACATATCTCACAAAACTAAGCATCAGAAAATCACTTATGTGGGAGAGAAATCATAGCAGCTTGCTGTATCAGAGACAATGGGACTAAATATGCACAACATCCCAGATTTCAGAGAGAGATTTCATCTTAAAGCATCCATCCATCCATCCATCCATCCATCCATCCATCCAAACAAATCTTCCTTAGTT